TTACATCATTTGTAGGATATGAAATGTGATTCAATTAATTCATATATATATACTATAAACAGAGTCAGATGCGGAAAATCGCTGACTGATATTTCAAATAAGACAATTTTTTGACAGAATCCTTATTACAAAATCGATCGTCCTTCTTGTATGGTCGAAGGCCCGCTGGAACTGTGCCTGTCTATGCTCTCGTGAAAAATTGCATTTCCAAAGACATGCGACTACGTGCAGCAAGAAATATGCCGATACTGAAGACGTCCGTGAAGCGGAATGCTTTCACGTTGATACAGGATCCAGGATTTTTGGCTCAACGACAAACCAACAGTGTCAGTGATCTAAGAGCACGAACTATATCGCAAGAACAAATACGACAGGTAAAATACGTGAAAATAAGCAAGAAACACTAACTAAAAGTAACGTAACAATTTTACACTTAACACTCTGATGAAAAAATTTTGCTGAAATTGAATTTAAATTATTCCACATTTCAACAAAATTGCTGAAAATTTCACTAAAAGTGAATTTTTCAACTAACATACTGAAAAATTACTAAAACTGAACTGGAATTTTGTTAAAAATGAATTTGTCAACTAAAATTCACTAAAATTAAATTAAAATTTTTCTGAAAGCTGAAATTTTGCTGAAATGATTCCAAAACGTGGAATAATTTCAGCAAAATTTTTCCACCAGGACAATGTAATGTAACACACTTGTTATATTACATCTATATTATTGAGTATAAAATTATAACATTGATGTACATTATATATATCTTTTAGTTTATAAAACAGTGGGAATAAAACAACAAATATCTTTTTATAATTTTCGTAAATTTCAAATGAAAATGATTAATGATTAAAATGATTTAGATCCGGGTTCGACTCCCGGCCGAGGCAATATTTTTTCGCAATAAAATTATTACAGTTTTAAGATTGGGAAGAAATTGGGGGGATTTATTAGTTTCAGATTTATTGTGTGAATCCGATAATTTCATCGGCTCTCAATTTATGTCTGAAAAATTAATTATATACTTTCAATTTTATTGAATGTATATTAAGTCAGTAGTTCAACATCTTACTGTGACCGATACGGCGCTGATTTCAATGTTTAGTTTGAAAATGATTAAATTTATTAAATTTTCACGCATTATTGCTTTTGTTATCCTTAATTATTACTTCTGAAAGAATATGAAATAATTCAAAAAAGAATAATGATATAATTATACCACTTCAATTCCAATTTCGTTCTCTTTTTTTTCACGCGATTCCCTTCAGGCGGCAACAGTACCGCGATTCGAAAAGGTAAGAGAAGAGAATGGATGTCAAAAAGTACACTTTCACGTGACCTATTGGATGTTCTATCCGTTTAGTGAAGGAAAAACGATTTGCGTATTGGATCTTGGATTTTTTGGCAGCTGGCCGATACCTACTATTGGTGGCGTGTGCATAGGTACACTTAAAGAATATGGTAGTCACATCGGAGATTGGGAACATATGAGTCTTTATTTCAAGGTAAATCATCTTTAGCAATCCTTCAAAGTAAATTTTTTTATCCATTATCATCATTCACACGAACATGCCTACCTAAATACGATGTCGTCATTTAGGACAACGAATATCCTCTGGCAATGTATGTATCGGCACACGATGTCGGTGCATTTTATCAGTATGATCCACGAAATGGTACTTTCGTCTATGAGAGTCAAGAAACGAGAAAAGGTCTCTTCCAGAAACCAACATTTCCTGAAAAGGTTTATACCGCTGGTGATTCACATCCAATTTTATTTAGCGCACGCGGCTCTCATGGGCTTTGGACAGCTCCGGGCAAGCACAAATTCGTTCGTGTACCTCGTCTGTACGACGAGAGTGGATTTGGAACTGCTTGGCCAACATGGAAAAGATTGGAGTTGCTCTTGGAAGAGGATAATGAGCCTTTACCAGGTTGGATGACTTTTAAGGGCAAATGGGGTAATCCAAGCAGCAATTGTCATCCACTAGCAAGACTAGGTTTTAACATTTGCGAATTTGTAGACGGCCCAACTGGAATTCCTATGAAAAAATTCAATTTTCGATGTTAAGACTTACTATCGCTAAAATTAATTAGGCAAAAAGACTGAGACGCGTCGTTTCGATTCGAATTTTTAAATTAATTGATAATATATAGCGTACAGGATGTCCCATTTTAATTGCTCTAGCCAAATATCTTAAAAAATTTATAAAATATGAAAAAATGTTTTAGATGTAAAAACGAACGGTTTTGAGAGGATGTATTTTAATCCTTTTTTTTCTCTCCTTTAGATAAAGGCTCTAAGATATAAAGGTCACCTCCGTTTTTTTAAATGAAATTGTGCAATTTTTTTACACAATATGTGATTCCTCCAATTATTCTGCATATAAAAGTATTAAAGTAGAAATATTTTATATTTTATTCCGATATATATACAAGGTGTTAGTTAAGTATTTTGCCATACTTAACAGAGCGATTCTTTGGTTTATTTCAAGTAAAAAAGTCTCTATAAACATGTGTCCTAAACTTAGTTTTCTTAGTTTTCGAAATATAGGTGAATTTCGTCAAATATTTGACGAAACGGTAAATACTTAACACCCTGTATATATTGACATGAAATATTAATCACCTAAAAAAAAACCGTCCACTTAAAAAAACTAAAATACATCTTCGAAACCATTTCTCTTTCATTTTTCATCAAACATGTTTTTCATAATTTATATATTTCATTTAAGATATTTGCCTGGGGCAAATGACAATTGAACATTTTGTATTTTGTATATATAAGATAAATTGATGCGATTTTAATGAGAATGCCAAAGATGGTTGACGATAATACGAGAGAGGACTTTACGTCTCAGTTCATTCAAATAATTGATCTTCATGATCACAACTGAAAAGTAATTTAGTGCCACTGATGTTTATTTAGCAGAAATTTCGTTGAAAATTAACATCGATATCGATTGATATAAAATGATAACAAAATAGAATTTGTTTAATACATAATGCGTACATAATAAGTGATAGAGAATAAGTGATATTATTGCTTTTGCAGACTTTTGCGCGTGATATATTCTTAAGAGCAATAGGCAAATAATCTTCTCTCGTGGAACTTAGCCATTTACAATTGCAATGTTCGCTGTAGTCTGATTACAAGATCTTTTGGCTATGCTGAATTGTTCATTCATTTGAACTAGTATTCAGCACTTAAATGCTTAAATATTTATCAGCGAAAGACAGCTCGATAATAAGCAACATTATTCAGACATCTCATCTTCGCTGGTTCCTTCTACAGCAATACTGCGTATGCCGTTTCTCAACAATGGTGTACCCTTATCTTTAGCTAATACACGTGCATTCAGTACAATTTTTAATGGAGTACCTGATGGACAACACATCACTTCAACATCCTCTTTTAATATTTTCTCCTTATATGCCAATAGCTCAACTTTTAACCTGATAAAAGGATCAATTATTTCATTAGCTAGATCAGTTTAAAAAGATACTTGATTAACGTGATAAACATATATGTAACCAATGTTATACCTTAAGCCATCTTTTTCTTGTGCAAAATCGACAATATGACAATTTGCATTGTGACTTCCTGCAATTACTGCTGGAGCTACTGTCTTTTCATCTGGATGAATACATGTGTTCCATGGTACTGAAAATTCTACATGATATCTGAAATAAATATATCATATATACATATACAGAGTAAATCAGAATCATTGAATCAGCTTTTTACCCTATGAGAAAATAATTGACTGCATACGTTATAATTCAATTAGGTATGAAGTCGATAATTTTCTCATAGGGTAAAAAGTTGGTTTAACGACTCTGATTCACCCTGTATATATGAAATATTTAAAAATTAATATATGCATTCCCTTTCCTAATATATTTTTGTATATATTACAAATTTTAATAAATAATTGTAATTGACAAATTAAAGTCTAGTTTTTAGCATTTAACATAGCAATCAGACCAATATACAATTATAAAATATTTATATAAGTTTTATATGTAATAACCTGTGATACAATTGCAAAAACCCTAAATGAGCATCTATATGACCATGTCGCTGTGGCTGTATCATAATATTATTATCTTTTCCAAATCCACTTCCACCGCTAAAATGAACATGATGCTCTAAACATACAAAATTTTGATTTACACATTTTATATAATTGTTAATAAAGAAGAGATAATCAAATACCTTTATCTCCCATGTTCCATAAAATAGTTTGGCAGGTTTGACAGTTGTAATTTCATACTGTTTACCAAAAAAGTTGATAAAATTAACTATCCAGTGCTTCTAATGACTGACGATGTAAAGTCTAGTTTGTCTAGTTTAAAATAGGTTAAGTTGTTTCGCTCCTAAAATGCACAATGTTGACCAATCAGAAAGTTGCTAGGTTGCTACAAGCTGTTTTCTAGTTAGGACACAAGGCTTAGTTTCCACCAAGGGTTTATACCGCATCAGAATGTAAGAATCAACCAACTACAGTCGAGCATTCCCCTGTCATTCGACTGTAACAGGGAAATACTCGATTGTAGTTGGTTCTTACATTCTGATCCGGCTTAAACTTTCGGTGGAAACTAGGCCACTGAGTACGGTCAACGCGATGCTGCAAACGCTTTAAAGCGTTTTTTTAATTAGTCAGTTTGTAAAATTCTTTCTTCTAATTGATCTATCAAATGCTTCAAAGCGGAGGAAACTGGCAGAACTAGTGCGCACTTAGTGCACATTAAAGCTGTACATTAACCTAATTTGACTGTAAAAATGAGAAATTTTAATTAATAAAATACCCAATATATATTTTATCAAATAAAGTGTATTAAGGATTTTGTGGTTTAAATTGTTTTTATATTTTTATTAAACGTACATCTTTATGTCAATTTGTGTACAGTTTTAAAGTGCACTGAGAGCGCATCAGGGGGTCAATTCTGTATCTTCAAAGAAGGTGAAAATGACAAAAGTGAGCAAATTTATTAGATGTTGACCAATGAAATAATCAGTATTCTAGTAAATTTGTTCACTTTTATACTTTTCATCTCATTTCAAGATACAGAATCGAGCTCTGCCAGTGAAAAACGATATTAGTTTTACAGTATACCAGGAAGTCGGTTGTGTATCTTGAAATAAGGTAAAAATTACAAAAATGAACAAATTCACTAAAATGTTCATAATTTAATTAGTCAATACCTAGTAATTATTACTAACTTTTGTAATTTTTATCTCATTTTAAAATACACAATCAAGTCTTAAAATGCATTGCAAGTCTTCTATTCTATTCTTATAATTATATTTAGCATATCAATAATAGATTTATAATTTTTTCAGAATTGATGATTTTTGAAAGTTTTATTGTAAAGTAAGTACGGTTACTAAATAACTTTTTAAAAAGTTAGTAACATTAAGCGAATTCAAGACGACAAAGCGGCTAGGCATGCTTACAGAGCGATTGAATATGATTGGCTGGATTTATAAATAACAACTAATTATGCTCATTTGCTCGGTGAGCAGGTCCCTTTGCCGTCAACTTGAACGCGCCCATTGACATATTTTAGACAATTGTACTTAGCTTTTTACTGTGTATAAAAAGAATAGGGAACAGAGAACAGAGAACAAGAATTTCAACCTATCAGAAATCATGTATTGCGGAATACACAGTTTCTGATAGATTGAAATTTTTATTCTCTGTTCCCTTATTCTCTGTTCCTTTTATATTGTGCGGAGCCCCTTACACTGCTCGACACAGTAAAAAGCTAAGTACAATTGTTTAAAACATGTCAATGGGCGCGTTCAAGTTGACGACAAAGGGACACTGTGTTATAGTTGGAACACTTTGTGTAAAGCCCGATGTCCACGATGCTAGAAATCGGTCGGAGATATCGGACAAAGGAAAAATTAATAAATCACATTTGAACAATTTGATCACATGACATTGCGATTGGTCAATTCTTTTATCCGAGGTCTCCAACCAATTTGGGGACCAATTTCTAGCATCGTGGACAGAAGGTTTAAGCCTTGATCCTCACTTACGGGCAACAGTGCGTTGACACCGAACGCTGATTAGTGAAAAACGGATGATAGAGGTAAATTTCACCCCCACAACCGGCTTTTGATCAATCAGCGTTCTGTGTCAAAGCGTATTGTCTATATGAGGATCCGGGCTCATTGCCCTTTTTGTCTTGAAGTATGGAAAGAAATGCAAAGTGTCCTTTTCATTTTTTATTAAGTTCATTTTATGATATATTATTTGACGAGTTTTTTATATTACGATTATATTATATTACGAGTATGGAACACGGAGAAAGTGTTGTGAGTAATGTTGAATTTGAAGATGAAAGTTCGTTGAATCTTTATTCGATTGTAGATTAATATGTTGTACAATACTAGCCTAATTTTCATCGAGAGTTTAAACCGGATCAGAATGTAAGAACCAAACAACTACAGTCGAGTATCCCTCTATTACAGTCGAACGACAAGGGAATGCTCGACTGTAGTTGGTTGGCTCTTACATTCCGGATTAAACCCTCGGAAAAAGGAAACTAGGCCATTCACTACTACTGCTACTCCCATAACTTTAAGGGCCGATTGTTCCACCTTTTAATAAATTTTACCTATAAAGTAAATCTGATAATCCGCGCATGTGATTGAGTAATTTTACTACTTAACCAACAGGTAAAATTTACCAAAACATGAACAATCTAAGTCTACGTTTACGCAATTGTAGATCGGGCTTTACACTGTGTCATCTGATGTGTACGTTGTTGGAAAACACCCACAAAAATAATCAAATGTCAAAAGGAAAAGACTTGTGGAGTTATACTAATTTTTTTTTTATTTTTTAATAAAAATACACTTAATTGTTTCAATAACAATATGTAATTGTTTAAATGAGACGTATAAAATCTCAAATGATGCAGAAAAGAAAAACATATTAAAAAAAAAGAAAAGTTCTGTAGACTGATATTTGTGGAAAATACGCTTAAAAAGATCAATATTAATAGTGTAATATAAGGGAACTCAAATGTTTAATTAGCTGTCGACAGGTTGTCCCATCGAGCTGAAATTTGACAGAAATTATTTTTTTATGAATTGAAACCATTTTGAGGAGTGCTGCGGAAAGAATTAAAAAAAACATTTTTTTTTAAGAGTAAAGATGGATCATCCTAGTACATGCTCATACATCCTTCTCTCTTTATCAAATTTAGTTTTTTTTATGTCCGGGATCTTTTTCTTCTAAATTAAAAAAATTGGCTTGAGGTAAATGACTATCATTTTTTTCCATGTAGAATATTCATAAAAAATACTCATATGCCTCCTAAATATATTTAAATTTGGCGTGATTTTTTTTTAACCCGAAAATACCCGCAACGGCGAGAATTTTAACACCGTACCGCTCAAATTTATGTATCTACTAATAAAGGAAATGTTTTTTTATTTTATATTTCCATAAAACAAATAATGTAATCATTCCATAAATAAACAATTTAAAAATAAAAAATAAATCCTTTTTCCTTTTGTAAAATTACTTTTTAGTGTGAAGAAGTATTTATATTGACCGCAACCGTATGCCGTAATCTGTAAAAATTGGTTAATTATCTTTGAGTATTTCCTTCTTATAGTCGAATTAGAGGGGAATTGTGATTAGTCAATTTTTACAGATTACAGCATACGGTTATGGCCAATATAAATGCTTCTTTACACTAAAAAGTAATTTTACAAAAGAAAAACGAATTGATTTTTTATTTTTAAATAATAATATAACGTAAAAACATTAAAAATAATTTAATGGATAATTTTCGCACTATTTGTTTTTAAAAAAATCAAGCTTCGGAAAAAGTAAAAAAATTGCTTATATAAAATTATACATAATTGTATATGAGCAATTTTTTTATATAACTTGATCTTTTCTAAAACTAACAATGCGATTATTCTTTTAATTATTAATGTTCACGTTATTGTTATTTTTATTACACTAAAAAATAATTTTACAAAAAAAATGTATAATTATATCTTTATGAATACTTATACGAATTTATGTATGTTTATACATATTTATACATATTCATGCATGAAAAATTTTTTACCGGGTAAGAGTTTGTGCTCCCTACTGTTTAAATTTTTTTTGTTTGTCATAGCAATTAAAAGTGGACATTTGTCAAAATATTACAAACTTAAAAAACTAATAAAACTCTTATAAATATTTATGCAAAAGTTTATTTGGATTTATTTACACATTTAAAAGTTATTTACTTAAAACTGCAGTAAAATATATCCTGCACACAAAGATTAAAATCAGGACATAAGACATCTTTTGGACGATTCTTTTGGACGTTTACAAATATCTTAAGACTTTTTTTTAAATGTTTTATGTCCCGATTTTGAACTTTGTGTTGTCTGAATTTATGATTATTTTATTACATACATATACAATGTAAAAGCCGTTATAGCTAAATTATTTAACTATTTGTTGTTTTGTTTCTTTGCTTTGTTTTTTTTTTGGAATGTTAGTTTTGGAATGTATTTAACAATAAATTGTTAATTCTCTGATATTGAATTAGCTAATGTTGGTTTTTTATAATTGATATTTTGACCAATATTTCTAAATAATACTAGCTGTTACATACAACTAATTAAAACACATTCTTATATAAGTGTCAAATACGTCAGCAAGTGTCATCAGTAGTTATCAAAGTTTACAATAATCGGTTTTGAAAACTGCAATCTGTTCTTGCACATCTGCATCTTCATTTGAATCACAATGATTATTCGTTACGATGAAATGTATAAACTAAATTACATAGTAAAATATCGCAACTTTTTATGACAAGAGGATCTACACTTTATTACAATGAAGGAAATTATATAAAATTAGCTATATAATGATGATAATAATGAGTGTGCGATGTGTGCGTACATATACATGTAGTGAAATAATCAATTCTCAGAATAATCAAACTTTATAATAGACGTAATCGCAATAATTCCAAGCAATTTAGTTGTATACGCGTCCGGCAGATATTCATCTTTAGTTCAAGCATTTATTTCGAGAATAATTACAAGAAAAACAGAGAATTTATATTTATTATACCGAAGGAATTTTTAACAGGAAGTAGTTCTACTTAATGATCTCTAAGAAAAAAAAGGAAAAATCGCGCATTTTTTTCCATATCTTAATCAAACACGTACAGTTAGAAGCATAGCTTTTAATGACACCAATATATTAAGCTAAAAATAAAATAATGCTCAAACATTAAATTAATATCTCATCTTACACTTTTTTGATGAATATTAAATTTTGTGTTCTATTCTTTGTTATTGTCAATGGTTATTCGTTAT